AAACAAGTGAGAACAGAGTTTGGGGCCTCACGGGGCCCCGCTAGAGATTTCAGGGCCCCATGAAAACACAGGTCTTGTGTTTCATTTCGGGCCATGAACAAGGGCAGTGGCTATGCGACTATTCTGACAAGGACGAGACTCAAACTCGGTCATTGAATCACAGACACAAAGACTTAACCCACTGAGTCCCACACAAAAATATAGCGGTCTAGTTTACCAGCTATCTTTGATCAATTACAGGTTCTGGCCTGAGATGGTTTTGGATGTAACCTAAACCTGCATCTGGTAAGGAGGTCTGTGTTCTGTTTTTGGTTAGAACACTTCCTCATTCAGGAAGAGAAGTCATAATTGGATGTATTGTTTGGTCCAACACACACAGTGAGCATGTAGAGTTTGTGATTAAGGGTCCTGTACTGTCATGCAGCTGGCGTGCAATGTCATATGGGTCACATGTCTGGCGACGACCCAGCCTGCAGTGTTGCTGATTGGACAGACTGTGACGTCGGGTAAAACGAGATGGCCAAGTGAGGATACCTGAGGATTTTTGCAAAAAATATAATGAAAAATAGATAAACACCCAACTTCTATTTGATTATCCAGTGCCAGATTACACTCTAGATTGGGTGCCAGTCCATCACAGGCATAAGCTAGAAACACACTAGCAACACTTTCTATGAATGCCATGTGAACACATTCATAACACATTGTAATGCATTCAAAAACCATTATAAACATGGCTGTAAATATTTATAAAAAGATTATAACACATGTAGCCATGCTTATTATGCATTATGAATGGTTCATGAAGCTGTCATCTATAATGCACTACAGATACCTTCATAATGCAGTACAAAGCATCCTTAATGCTTATACTGACCCTTATAATGCGTTATGAAGGCATCTATAGTGCAGTATAGATCAGAGCTACATTGGTGCTTATGGAGTATTATTATCAACACTATAATGCCTTATGGCTGTCAACAGAAGATGCTGTAACACTTTGTTAATTCTTATACCAACCATTATAATGCGTTATGAAGGCATCTATAATACGTTATAGGTGACAGCTTCTAGTGAAGTGTTACCAACACACTTGTTTAGCTTAGCCTATAGGGACATTAGCTATGGTTATCTGGCTGAAGGGTTATAGTCTGAGGAGCAGAGCTGAGTGGAGATCATTGTCGTGGTGTCAGTCTAGCTTTGCATGTAGCCATATGCTGTTGGACTTCTGCTGCTTGGGGATCGCTCACGTCTGTCCCCAGCTAGTAATGCTGGTGCAGATGCTCCTGCCTCATTATGATTCTCTCTCTGCAGCATTTAATAGTCGCTATTCTGTCCCTCACTCGTTCATGCACTTTCCTTACCCCCTCCCCCCTTCTGGTGGTCCAGATACAGTGAAGCCCCCTGCCCGCCTGCCGCCCCCATGCCTCCCGCCTGTTCCACCCGACCTGCTCACCCTCTGCCTAAGCCCCCTCACCTGCTCATCTGCCTGCCTGTGCTGTCCCCCAATCTGCCCGAATTTACCTTGCACTAAATATGCAAACTTGACCAGAGGAAGATGGGCTTTTGAGGTCTCCTCCCTTCTTGTGCTTCCTCCTGTCTCTGAGGGAGCTTATCTGTCTGTCTCCTTAGGCGTACTCTCTGGAGACATCTGACCCAACTACTCTATACCCCGTGACAATGTTCTCGTCAAAAGTGCTATACTGTATAAATAAAGTTGAACACAATACACATAAACACACTATGGACAATTTAAAGACACAGTTTCATTTAACTGTGTATCTTCAGACTGTGGGAGAAAACCAGCAAATCACGGAAAGAAAATACAAACCCACACGAAGGGTGGAGGAAATATTAGAGTCGCCAGCTGTGGAATCATAATGCAATTATGCTCCCCAGTGAGCTACTGTGCCGCTAAAATAATTCAATTATTACGTTTTTCAAAATGAATAAATATGCACAGTACTGTGCTAAAGTCTTAGACAGTCAAAGAAAATGTTTAAGGCTATTTATCTGGGTGGTAATGGTATATTTACTCAGAAAAAAATTAATCGACATGAGAACATATGTAAATGAACAGTAACAAAAAAACAAGAATTTCTTCTGTTCTCCAAAAAGTTACTGATGTCTTGTTGGATGGCTAGATGAACACTGCTTCAGATCCCAAACCTCTCCTCAGGGGTACCCCAGCCATTCCATGTAAAGTATTTTTAAAATTTCACCACCAGCTCAGATAATTCACGGTAAATAACTCACTGAGGTATTGATTAGCCAAACAAGGTGGGATAGGGGTTAAGTCAAAAAATGCATTGGTGGAAGGACGGTGGACAGTAATGACATCATGTCCTTACCATGCCCTGATGATTGTGGGCGTGCTGTGCATATTGAGGGGAGGGGGGTCCCTTATGCCCTTGCATGGGTGTGTTGGATGGGTTGCTACAACTACAGCTGTGATTTAAGGAGGTTTTGAAATGGCTGACACTGCATCATACTTTTACACCAACATGAAGATCATTTAAACCTCATTTTCTTTGACTGTCTGAGACTTTTGCACAGTGCTATATATACATATTTGCTTTTGTATGGCCTCATTCATGAGGCTACATGCCTTAAGCCTGAATGAAGAGGCACCATGTTTTTGGTAAAATTTAGAAATATCTGAATAGCAATCGTGCCCTTCGCTGTAACACTGGCATAGATGCTCTGAAGTACCATCAGGAGGTGCTTTCAGATATTACAATTTCCAGCAGAGTTCTCTCCATGATCCCATCACATGAGGGTCCTTGTGTGGATGCAGTCACACACGGGAATCTCTCCAAAGAACCTCTCCACTCCTATTGGAATCACGACTGGTCTCCAAGAGAAAGAACTTCTCCACACTGTGAATTTCCAAGTTTTTCCAACTTTTAGTTTCATCACACTGCCTTGTTTTTTTTTTTTTAATATTCAACGTTTCACCTGACCTGTTTCCAGAGACAGAGCTCGTCACGCATCCAATTAGGAAATTCCTTCATAAACACATGGATAGTACAGCCTCCCCTGACTTAGCAGATGGGATTTATCCGTACTGCTATAATATTCATTTCCTCAGTGTATCCTATTATCAAAGAATATATTAATGTGTTTAATTACTGAAGTTTTCACTCTAGTGTATTATTAGATGCATTCAATTCTCGGGGCTAAGATATTTTTTTCTTCCGATGAAATTTTTTTTAAATAAAAACAAAAAGATTTTACTTTTATCCTATGTTGTATAGAAAACATTTTGTGTAACCATTCATAGGGGAACAATTGAAAATCTGGTTATTGAAACATGGCCAAACAGTGACTAATGTCCATTCAAGTGATTACAAAAAAACAGCATATTTTATCTTAGTGCAAATTCCATATTTATTGATTTGCTGATTAAAAAGGGGAGCTTTCTATGTTTCATGTTATTTAAAGATTCTTGCTTAATATTTAATGTGATTTAACTGGGTAACCTACTTTACAATATAACATGGATTCCAAAATGTCTCATTAAAGTGCAATCAGAAATGAAACAAAACAAAATGAATCAATTCCTCAAAATATCACAAAAAGATAAAATATACTTCTTTTTAAATATAAAATATGTTGGTAGATATTCATTGCTAGATATATTTAGCCCTTCTGAATATTTAATATTTCATTGCAAAATAGGCTATCCAGCCGTCCATCAATCTTATATAACTACTCATCCAGTACATAGTCAGGGTGAGTCTCATTTCTCAGAAAGCACAAGGCAGATAGTGTTATAGTAGATTTTTAAATGACTACCTAATTCCCCTGTCTAATGGAAAGTAAAATCAATTCCAATGAATGTGTCGCTATACCTTTCCCATATCACTGTATAACCAATAAACACTTTACACGTGACGCTAAATAGCGTAGGGAGAGCGGAAGTTGTTTTGCAGAGTTGACGTGCTGGACTGTCTAATGAGCTAGAGCCCCAGGCAGCGCCGGTGAGCTGCCAGTTTCTGCAGAACAATGAAGCTGATGTCACAAACCAAACGGCTCACTATGGTAACACAGAATTCCAGCTTCTGTGTTCCGGGCCTGATCCTGACCGAGTAGACGGTATGTTCTGGAGAATGTTCAAAATGCTGTTTTTTTTTTTAGCAACACACACGCATATGCCTTAGTAACAACACTAAATCAAATTAAGAAACTCACAAAAATAATCTGATTGCTTGTGGTTGACCAATGCTATTCAAAAACAGCTATACTGCAGGTCAAATAGCATTTGATATAACGACAAATAATCTAGGTCTCTCATGTGCTCCACTAGCCATAAAAAAACTATAGTTTTTGCTTCTGTCTTTATAAAAGTGTTACTCATCTTCACTGTGGTGTTGCATGTTTGTCTATCGGCGGCTTATTCTTAATTTTTTCAATAATGTTGTTCTTTGTGCTGTGTAGCCGAATGACTAAGCATTGTTGCATACAAACAATAATACATCTCGAGTCTGTCTGTCTCAACGACTTATTGTCAGAACTACACTTTTAATAGTGCACGGAATTACAGAATTCATTCGTTAAATAACATCACTGCTGCCAGATGATAAATGGCACATCAAACTACTTGCGTGAAGTTTATTGTGCCCCCACTCTGCATAATTGCAATGCAGGAGGACTTACTGGTGGTTTGAGTGGGAATTTTGCCCTACTTTGGTGGTGCTATCAGAGTGTACAGCCTGCTTAATGAAGAGACACTGTAAAATCATGAGTAACAGACAGTGTGATTCAAGAAAGGCCAGGAATACAGATACATAATTTTGAATGTTTCGTGTTGCAAAAGTTAAAGTTAAAAACATGCAAAACCTTCACTGCATCAAATAAAAAGGGAAATATCCGACACCTAATTGAAAAGCTAAAACAACATGTTTAAGTAAAAAAAAAAAAAAAGAAAAAGAAAAAAAAGATTATTTGCTAGATATATTATTATTACAAACAATTCAGATAAAATTATCTACAAACAATTCAGATAAAATCTCATTTATTCAATTGAATTTATTCGTGCATTTATAAAAACTTAATGCAGATCAATCTGAATCAAAAACAAATACTAATATATAATATACAAATATACTAAAACTAAAACTATGTTGTTTGCATTGCTGTTGATATGTCAGGCACAATAAAGCAGGAATACCCTTTTTTTGCCCTATATCTCAGCATGGAATAAACTTAATCTAATGTAGTGCGGCTGTTTAAAAACCCTGAGGCAGAGTTATATCGCAAATTTGTGGCAACGTAATATTGCTCGCAGCACTATAATACAAAACGACGGTGCCGCAGTGCAGGATGCGACCCGGCAGAATCGTCCCCGGTCACGGGGGCAGCTCCTCTTTGGTCGTCTGAGGCTGGGGTAGGAAGGCGCTCTAGGAGTTCAGGCCTGCGCTTTTCTCCACGCTTTGGTCTGCGTTCACGGAGGTGAGGAAGGACTCCCACACTGCCAGGCACTGCGAGAGGGAAGCGAGCGCTATGAGACGGCATTCACAGACCTTATATCACCTTAGGCCACTTTGCACATGTCTACGTGAACACAAGCACACAGCTGCAGTTGTGAACAGGTTATTTTACGTGACTCCGGGTAAAGGTGCACGCATAACTGAATGTATGATTTTCTTTCCCTAACCATGGTTAGCTATAAAATCTAACTTAAATAATAAATAATATAGCAAGGAGCAGACCGTAGATATCTCAGTACTAGAAAAGTGAGAGAAAAGACTATATACACTGTTAAATCAAAGACAAAACACTTAATTTTAGTACTAATATACTGCATCATTACTAGCAAAGGGGCGAGTAACGTTACTTATACATTTCTGAGCAAAAAAATGGGCCAAAGCATAATGTGCATGGGTTTGGTCCATTGTTTTGCCCAGGAATGTACGCTAACATGGATACACAATGTTAGGTAACATCCATCCAGCTTCTAAGACTGGGGTAGGCAACCCTGACGCTGGATTGCCAGTGCCCAGCAGGGTAGTAGTATAGTCAGGGAAGCAGGGGGAATTTGAGCCTCTCCCAGGCAGCACAGCGGACGGGGAGGGGTAACGACAGGGAGGGATGCCAGTCCATCACATGGCACATACATGCACTCACTCACGCAGACACATGCACACACTCTATAGCAGTGCTTCCTAATCCGGTCCTCAGGGACCCACAGATAGTCCACATTTTTGCTCCCTACCGGAAGCTGGGAGGGAGCAAAAATGTGGACTTCCTGGAAGGGAGCTCGGAGGGAGCAAAAACATGGACTGATTGTGGATCCCGAGGACCCAATTGGGAAACACTGTTCTATAAGCAAGTCAGAGATGCTGGTCCAGACCCAGTACTTGGAGGAAATACATGGGGAGAACATGCAACTCCACACAGCCAAAAAGTGACTGGAGGTGTGAGGCGACAGAGCTACCCCACTGAGCCACCATGCTGCCCCCTGTTATGTAACATTTACCATAAAATATATTTTTATAATTGATCTCGCTGTGTAGCTAGATCATCAAAGCAGAAAAAGTTTGACTCGAAATAAAAGTGCAGTAAGCAATATCTGGACATAAAGAAGTGAGGGGGAAAAAAACTTCAAAGACATTTATGTAATACACGTTTGAAATACTTGGAAAGTATTTTCAGTAGTAATAATTTTCTAAAAGAAGAGATATGACAATCCTGCAAAAATCTATGAAGGCTGTTTTAATAAAAAAACTTTGATTAAAATGTATTTAACTTTCCTGGGTTTTAAATATTAAGAACTACCACTGTGAGGGACAAAACTTTGTTGTATGCTATTAAAAAGAATTGGAACCCTTGGCGTATTCCCAGCAATCATTATATATCCACCCATTCCCCATAACTAATTATGCAATGTTGAGTCTGAAACCAATCCCAGGAGGCAAACGGGGAGGGAGACTCTGGTTGGGGTTGGGTTTGGGGTTGGGGTTGGTGGGTTGTCTGTCAGAAAGGAGACACACGCTGAGTACTCAAACAATTTCAGGGAAAATCTGTAAACTAGGCCAGTAACGGTGTCCAAAAAGCCCAGAGGCCATATTGCTTTCCACACAATGAAGGCTGGATTCCAATCCCCAACCCTGGAGATACAAGACAACACAGCTTCCCACTGAGCCACAGCCCAGAAGATGTAAATATTCCTGTACGATGTCACTGGGCGGATAATACATCACACGCCAGCAAACTCACGGAGATCTATTGTATTTCCACCACGGCAAAGTAAAACCATTAACTCCGCAAAACACTAAGTCAAACAGCCACATCCATTCAGACAGCCTTGTCCAGGGCTAATATGCATCAGAAGTTTGACAAATGATCTGACAGCAGCCTTCTGTGCCTTTGTGACGAACTCCTGACACTCTGCCGTCGCTAAAAATACGACCTGACATGTCACATGCATTTAATCAATACTTCTTCGAGTTTCTGTGCAATCCCCATTGTTAAGGAGCTACTCGGAAAGACGTGCCATTTATATCATAAGGGCAAATTACATATATATAAAATCAATTTTAAAAGAAGAGAACTGCAAATATATATCATGCATTCACCTGCCGACACGTTTTTTTATACTGAACAAGTTCTGAATGTTTTAAGGTTAGCTACTCAAGCTTGCCGGTAACTACCGTTTCCGCTAGGACACCTTTGCAAAGATGCAAAAAAAAAAAAAAAAAAACATCGGGCAGTGGTAGGAGGCTGGTGGGTGTGTTTTAAAACCCACCTCCGCTGAGTGCAGTTATAATGGATGCTGCGGCCCTCCAAAGAAATGGCTCATTGAGATGTGCACTCATGGCCCACTGGAGCCCGCTGCCGCTTCGGGAAACGGGCTAAATTGCTCGACAGGGATTCAGCACGAGGCATTGATTAAGATCTCTGCCGGCCAAGCATCCAGTGGAGGAGGGCCACCCCAATTCATTATTCTGCTTATTCGGGGGACGGCTGACTGCCACACAGCTTCTACGACGAAGGAGGGCCACCCTGATAATTCATTATTCTGCTTATTCGGGGGACGGCCGACTGCCACCCGGCCTCTACAAGGAAGCCGCGCTAGACCACATCCAATTTGCTGCGCTAATATCGTACCGCCACGGCGAGTATTTAAAGTGAAACACTTTCGACTTTCAGCGTATCAGGCTACGTCTCAACTCAATTCACTCTAGAGGGATTCATAAGCTATGTTTCATTCTGCGTGAAATTGAAAGAGCAAATATTTGCGTGGGATTCCTCGCAAATATAAGCTGCTTTTGTAGAATTATTTTACTATTTTACTGATTTTTGTCACTGAAAATTGGGGTGGCACTCCTCTAGGTGTGTATCTGCGCGGCTGTGTGTGTGTGTGTGTGTGTGTGTGTGTGTCTTCAAGAAAGACTTTTTCATCTCTATAAATAAAATTTCCAGATAATGCCTTAAACGTATGGCTGCATGCATTTCCTCTGACGCACTGCTTGCCCTAGAGCCATTCGTGGAATTACGGATTCAATGGGAAGTGCAGCCCCCTTCCCATGCACATCCGCAGTGAGTGCAGTGCCTTCTAACCAAGGAATTACGCAGCCAGGGAAACGGGGGGGGGGGGGGGTGGGGGGGGGGGCAGGCAGGCCAAACATCACCCTCACTCACAGGCTATTCCAGACCTGATTTCAGCCACCATATATATTTTTTTGTCTCGGCCTCCCGGTAAAATTGTTTTCCAAAATTTTTTGTTCAGTATTTTCATACAAATTTCATAGTCGGGGATCTCCCCTCTGCTGGGACCCAGCAGTATGATACGTTTTTAGACTGAAAGTGCAAGACCTCCTAAGGGACAAATCCTACAAATCACCCATGATCCCCCCTGGGCCCTCAAAATAGATCTGGACCAATTCATAAAGCAGCATCTTGTTTCTGCTGAGGCAGGTAAACCTCTCCAGGTGAAGTCTGAATGTCCTTCTTGTTAGTGCTATGGGCTGCTGGTCAGAAGGTGAAAATGCATTAAAACATCTGATCTCCATGTGCCACCCGACACTGCAATGCTTCAGCTTAAGGAAATGGAAAAAATAAAATAAGTAAAATAAAGGAGAAAACGAAACACCATAAAAGCGAGTCTTCAGACACTATCATTTCAGAGATTTTCTACGATCCACTAAAGAAAATTGTTGATTAGGCTGAATGAAACCTTATATTCCATAACAAGACACTTGTCTCTCCCATCTTCCAGCAACATTCTCGTTGCTATGGAGTCTCCATGGCAATTCACAGAAGCTGCAATTTCCAGTATACAGTTGTAGCTGCAGCGGGCACATAATATGACAGTAATAAAAACCGTCACATATTTCAATTCTTTAGAGCTTCTTCTAAAAGCTATTTTTAATTATAATGGCTTAAGCTCTATGATGCAGCTAATAACTAAGAAGAGACTTAAATGCATCAATACAGACAGATACACAGACACACACAATAGAGACAGAGCTAGAGTATAAAAATGAGCATATTTGCAGGTCTGAGACTGAAGAACCACCCTCCCCCCCAAATGTTTAAAAAAATAATAATAAATAGCTAGCAAGTAGAGTCAGAAGATCATAGGTAGCTAGCTGGTTAGCATAACCTGCTACATGAGCATTTCCTAAATAACAAATGGGTTTATTTGATAGTGTAGTGACTGCTTGGGGATCCCAATGAAGATTGAGCAAATTGGTTTCACCACCCCTTGAGCTGTTCTCCTACTGCCCAGCAGGGGGCCAAATATCTCAGTGAGCAAAGGGACCTCACAGTAGTAGCTCTCAATGGTATTCCGACTGCTTTCATTCCAATCCACACAACATCCAACCGGCCACATTCATTATTAGCCTATTAAGGACCATATAAACCTGATTAAGGTCGGGTTGGAATGAAAACATTTGGGTACGGGGGGGCACCAGGAACGGGATTGAAAACCACTGCCTTAGAGCATCATCAGCAGTTCCTCAAGTCTTAACAGGTGCCTGCAAACACTTACTGGAGCCAATAATCCAGCAGGCCCCAGCAGGGTGCCGGGCTTTACGCCGATCCCAGCTTCACACCAGTTCAAGGAACCCGGAGCCCACAGCCAGCACTCACGCCGACAGCAATTATCACAAACTGCCGCTAATTAACACACGTTCAGCACAGATCTCACGGTGCGACTCGAAGCCTGAGAGCTCCATCCGTCACACAGCCATCTTACAACTGCTTTCTCCTGGTCATGGTTTGTGAGGCCTGAAGCTCCATTAAGTATTAAAAAAAAATCTTGGGAAATCAACACCTCTGTGTACGTGCAGTGTGCAAGTCTCCCCTATGTGTTTAATCTAAGTATTTAAAGCACAAAGTATTTAATTTTGTTTAATAATTTTTTTATTTTGCATGCATGCATATACTTGCATGCATGTATATACCACTTGTATCTGTCTTGTTTGTCTGTCTTGTGTGTTGCTGGAGGAAATACTCACCATGGCGTCTGGGAGTAATTTCCATCCTCTATGTGTCCTGTATATATGGCGGAATTGACAATAAAGACTTTGACGTCACTCAGGTTTCCACAGCATACTCCGACTTCCCCAGAGACATGTGGTTAGGCTAACTGGTGTTTCTAAATTGCCGTTCAATGTACAGTGTTGTGTGAGTCTTCTCTGGCCAGGTGCCCAGTGCTGCCTGAAACAGAATCCAAGTCCCTACTGCAACCCTGACCAGGAAAAATGCTTAGATGAATGAATATATGTATATCAATCTATCCATATATATGTATGCCTGCACGCACGCACAATTGTGATGTTTTCTCTCTTCGAATATTAATGTGCTTGTTTATTAAAGGGCTATGTAAATAAGCTTAATTTGTTTTCAGAGTCTACAAAGGTACCGTACTATAAGTGATGGACTTGTGTCTGAATTTAGCCAAGAAAAAGGCTACCAGGGAATGTTTATTAGACAGGATAAAATTCTAATGTCTTTATGGGGCTGGTGATGGCGCGATATCAGCTTATTTTGTTAGTTTAATTGTGCCCTTGGAGTTGTTGTGTCCTGTACAGTTACAGTTGCTGGGTTCCTTTATCTTATCCTCATAAGGCCAAATTCAGAAATATGGAGGCGATGAGTAATGTGCGCTTTCTCAGAATGAGTCAAGATGGCTCTAAAGAGCAGAATACACGTGAAAAATAAGCATCACTTCTGCGCCAAATTTATGGAACAAGCCGAATGTTTCAAACTGACAGCTCACACCATGATGTATGTGATTCATTAATGTAACAAAATAACAGTTTATCGACTAAAAATACTGAACATAATGTTTGAAGAATCTTATAGACACATTTTTCACTCAAACCCAAAAGATGAACAAATAAGCCAATAAATACCAGGTATTCTTTTGGTTTTGATGGATCTTGGCTGACACTAAAAAACAAACCCAAATGTTACGCTTTACATTAACTGCACCTTCATGATACCTTTATAATGCATTCATAGAACATTCAGTGCCCCTACATAATGCATTTATAGAGCATTCATAAGATACCTTAATATCCTAACATACCTTAACAGCCTTAATATACACTAAAAACAAACATTTTAATCATTTAACCTGATAATGTTTGTTATTGATGTTTATTAAAGCTGTTAAGGTATTTTAGGATATTAAGGTATAGATACATGCTGACTATGAGTGTTCTATAAATTCATTATGAATGTATTATGACAGTGCACTGAATGTTCTATTAATGTGTAATGAATGCTTTCTGAAGCTGCAGTTAATGTAAAGCATTACCATACATTATTTACTTCTCCCTAGGAATTTAATTAAGCATGTGATGAGAAGCTATGAGAATTCAGTTGAGAGAAGTATATTTTTGAGTATCCCAAAGCATACACATTAGTCAACAGGAGTAAAAGCATCTTATGATTATCACGTCAACTCACAGCCATTCGGGAGTCTGTTGGTACCTAAGGACCATCATCATTCCACTGTAAAATGTTATTTTCCAACTAAAACATGACCATAAAACCCTAAGACTAGTTCAGCATCATATCTTCCTGTTTTCATGCAGGTACAATTGCTACATCTTGGGTTACGGTACCAAAACAATTCCCCAGAGAGCTTTGATATGTTGAGCTATAGAACCATAAAAAGCAGGAATTCCCCAGAGCGAGCTTTCATGTCCTAGGTTACAGATCACAAAAAGCAGAAATTTGCACCAACACCTGACTCATGAAGAAAAAAAATCATCCGTAATCGTCCATGCACCCACCTCCTTCTTCACTCACCTTCTCGTGATAATCGATGTTCTTCTGCGCGGTGCTCACGAAACCGGCCTTGACGTCTCCCCGCATCTTGCTCTGCCACCTCTCCCAGTCCCCCTTCAGAGCACTGTTGGCACACTCCACCTTGTCCTCCAGCTTCTCAACTTCTCCTTTCAGCTGTTGGTTAATGCACAGGAGTCACATCGAAGCAATTCACTTAGGCTACGCAAAAAGCACTTCTGCCATGTTGCAAAGTGGGACTGCAAGTGGACATGATCACAATTCACTGACAAGCTAAACAGGAATTTTGGACCTATTGTCCAAATTGTTTTACATTATTGGCTTATCAAATGAAATGTATCTAGAAAACTAGGACACATTTAAAGATCATGCAGCTATACACACACACACACACACACACACACACAACCACACACACACATGCACAGAACTAATAATAATAATCATCAATTTTCTGACATAATTCCCTCTGGAACAACCCTCTTTCTTTCAGGGTCATGGATGACAACTCACAGAAATTCTCATTTAAGTGTGAAAACGCCCAACCTTCTGGTGGGATCAAAAGTCAACCAGAATGCGTCAAAATAAGGACTAAAGACTACCATGCAAAAACCATGCAATAAGGATTCTCAAAACTCTGAGATCCAAGTGGGGGTGTAATGTGCAAATAACCTTGACGAAGAGCAGGCCTTGAACAAGAGCAAGCAATCATCAACCAGAATATGTTTGCTTGACAGTCGGAAAGTGACTCACTCAATGTTTTTCCTCCTTGTTTCCTTAAGATCTACGGAATTGACAGGATAAATCAACAAAAGCTTGATGGTCTTCACTAGCATTTTGTGATGAAGATTACCAGCCTTCAGGGGACAAAGTCGTGGACAGTAGAATCTAGAGATGTTTCTGTATTATTTCTGTGTAAAACTGCAGACTCTCAAGTCAGCTCCAACGTTGACAAGACGTTTGTGAAAAACATAAACGCAAAGAAAACATCCCACAAGTATGAGACGATGCTGTCCAATTATTTTCCATGACTCAGACCAGTTTCTGTATGACGGATGAAACATTTCAGTAATACTCTCCTATAGTTCTCTTCAGTGTCAATTTATCTCAGTTTTAAATCTCAGAAATAGCTGAATAGATTCAAGCCGATTCATTTTTTTATATTGGCATAAAGAAATGAAAATGGATTTCAAACCATCTGCAGTTGTGTTACATTAAGTCTTTTTCATAAAAAAGTTTAAATCTTTAAAAAAAAAGAATCCAGCTTTAATTTCAGCAATAGTCATTCATGAAGGAGTGTGGCTTCCTTAGTCCTTAATCCATCTGACCAAGAGCTAGACAGCCAACTATGTCCCTTATAAAGCTGCGTTTCAGGTGATACAGTAACTACACCAGTCTTCATCTAAGACAGGAGCTCAGGAAATGTAAAGCAGGTGAATAACATGATTAAATGGTATGGCTATGCTGTACGAGTCACAGCACAACAACAAGACCGTCAACTGGAAATACAGTTTTAAAATGCAATTACAGCACAATGCATAACTGTGCTTCTTGTATGGCAGATAGCAGATAAGTAAATGGAAATGTATGACAAGGAAAGCAATGTTGGAGACATCACTTATTTGCAAATGCACATTCAGAAAACGGCATGGAGGAAACAGCTGTGATTTAAGGTGAGATAATGTACTCTCAGAAGAAGTAAAAAAGGGAGGGTAAAAAAGGGAAAAAAAATCTCAAAAAAAAAAAAACTACTAAACTATTTCAATACAAATGAAAAACCCTATAAGCATTTGTAATAAAATTCCACTACATTATCATGCAATGGCTGACTGCTGAATACAAGGATTGATATCATGGTATACGTGCTCCAAGTACGCACCTGACATTTTTATTTAACATGCTACAGTTAAATAACTGACTTTGGCTTTGCTGCCACCGCATGGTTAGGAACTATATTACAAGTTTTAAAAAATCATTTGGATTCATTTTCATTTCATCACCAAACATGCTGCCTTAAACCACACATCTGGCACACTTGTAGAACCTTTTTCTTAAAAAAAATGTCTACACCTGGAAAACCCACAGAACAAAATCTCACTGATGAAATGGCATTAAAGGTACAGAATAACAAAGGAGGACGTGTAGAACTGGAGAGATTAGTATGTGGCTGAAATCCTGCACCCAGAGCGCCTCTCACAATGGTAGAGTAATGAAGCAAAATCAGGGTTAAAGAAATAGGGAAGGCCCACTGACACACCTAAAAGAGATTAAGTTTGAGTAACAGATAAGCCCTACTGAAAAAACCACCAAAATGAAGTCCGCCACAAATCCCGTCCAACAAGTTCCGTTGTTCCACTATTCGTACATAGGAAGGGGTCTCACCTGTGCTGAGTTGGTAACATTTTGACAAACTTAAAAAAATAATAACAAAACGAATTATGTGGTGGTATACAGTGTAATGTATCACTATCATTTGTAGTATATAAATGTTATTTCCATCATCTGGCTCTTATGCATTCCCTCGTACAATAATTTCTGGAACTTTTACATTAACTGCATATTCATAATCCCTTTATAATGCATTAATAAAACATTCAGTGCACCTTCATAATGCATTCATATTACTCATAAGCAGCATGTAAATATGCCTTAACATCCTAACATAATGTATATTAAAGCTGTTAAAGAACAAACATTATGATAAAACATTGTAATCAAACAATGCTTGTTATTAATGTATAATAAAGCTGGAAATGTATGTTAGGATGTTAAGGTATACTTGCATGCTGCTTATGAGTGTTCTATGAATGCATTATAAAGGCATTATGAAGTGCAGTTAATATAAAGCGTTACCTAATTTCTTAGAGACTGCGCACTCTCTTACAGATTTCACAGTCTGTTTTTTTTTTTTTTTTTTTTTTTTTTTGGGGGGGGGGGGGGGGTTTACACAATTGGTTGTCCATATTTAAATGCTTCCAAAATGTTACCATCCCAGACCAATCACTGACGGCCTGGCTTGTTAGATGGTTATTGTGCTCTGCTGTTTTGATACCTCTTCAATTTGACCATGAAGTCTCTGTTCCTGCTGTTGTCTGGCTTCTTCCGGGACTTTCCCAAGCAATCTCCCCAGCATAATGCTTAGATCCTCAGTCTCTGTCAACTAGTGACACAGTGGACGCGAGGAAGGTCAGTTCCCCATGAGGTGGGAGTCCCTCGAACACAGAGACATCACGTCCACCCTGAATTGATGTCATGCCCCAAAACTAGGCCAATTGTCCCCTTTATAAACTTAGGGTACTTGTTCACTATGCTAAAGGATGATATACACTGCAGTTACGAGATGGTTAATATTTGTCATATGATCACATGACCAGATTAAGTTCAGTCATTTAACATTAAGCTACATACAATTTAATGCGATTTACTAATGCGACTTTGCAGGTCACCATTAAATGAAATTAAGCCCAAAAAAGCTGAATCAGAGGAAAAATCAAGTGTTGAGTTTCTTTTCCCTCTGGCCCAATAAATGCGGAAACACAACCTTCTTGTGCGGAAACTGAACACCGCCTTCTTGTGCTTCACGCAAAAGGCTTTTCTTTTTGACGGGCACATCCCAAAACGTCTGAGCCCCCTGACTCCACCTCCTTTAAAATGTACGGTGTTCAGTTAGCTGCAGTGTTCAGGCTTGACATTTTGTCTTTGTTACTTTGACGCCTTTGCCCTTCCCTGGGCCGAACCCCAAACGCTCCGGCAATCCACACCCAGCGGATCTTAATCATACTTAGAATCCACTGAGGTCATCTGGTGGACAAAATAGCACCCCGGAAGCTTTTTTTTTATTATTAAGTGATTTTAAATATATATATCTGACATTTGAAGGAAACCTCCAGAGCCTTCATTATTTCAAGATTAGTTCTTCAATATTCTCCTCCTTCAGCATCATATAAGGGCTCAACATGGACTCATGAACAGTCTTGGTATATTTACATAATATTATGAACAGACGTTTTCCAATATTGTCAAATACCCCTTTGGGTTTAAAATGGATTGCATGGAAATAAATGGAGATGTGACAGCTTCGGAGAAGCTTATTGGTAATGAGGCTTGGGATCTGCAGGAGAACATTAGAGTCACAATCAAGTCAATATTGTACTTACTGCTTCCCGGTCTGCCTGCTTGTTAACTAGAATATCGTATTTAGCTTCGTACTCCGTTTGAATGTTGTCACGCCTTCTCAGAACCGCCTAAAAATAAAACGCACACAGAATACCTTCATTTGTAACGGTATCATTACTGCAGCACAACATGAAAAACTGACTCTCGCTGGCATAAACAGAGGCAAAACATGGTAAACTTGGATTACCAGTCATAATTGCATCACTGGTCTTGTTACAGAGTAATCCCTTTGTTATCAGGACGGGTTTCAACTTGCAGTAGCCCCACGTGTGATTGTGCAACTGTGAACCAGTCCTTCTCAATCATGATTAGCTCCCAATAAGCTATTATAACCAGTGATGTTCCCGATTAGATTTCAATAATCTGAATCAGGGCCAGTTAGGAGGGTGGCACAGTGGTGCAGTGGTGCAGTGGCACAGTGGTACAGTGGACAGCGCTGCTGCCCCACATCTTCAGCCTCTGCTATGGCTCCATGTGTGTGGACTTTGCATGTTCTCCCCATGTCAGTGGAGTTTCCTCCAGGTACTCCAGTGTCCCCCCACATACTGAGGGGGGGGGGGGTGAGTGAATGCTGTGTGAGTGTGCCCTGTGATGGGTTGGTGCCCCATCCTGGGTTGGTCTCTGCCTTGCGCCTGTAGCCTCTGGGATAGGCTCCAGACCCCCCCACGACCCTGAACAGGACAAGCGGTTACAGAAAATCAATGGATGGATCAGAATCAGCAACATCAGCCTGATCCAAAGCCAGATCTACTCAATTTCCCACGTCCACCTAATTTACGTCACTTGTGCAGATTGTAAGGATCCGTCACACGCTGCAGTAACTCAAAGTATCCCAACAGCTACCTGCAATGTTTGCAAAGCCATCCTTTCGAGAGGAAGTAGACACAGAGCGTCATTTAATACGCAGAAATAAAGAACACTGCAACATGGCAAGGCTTACTCTGATGAAGAACGACGGTTGTGTGTGTGTGTGTGTGGGTTTGTATTTACCATGAAGGTTTATTCCTTCCTATACAGATTTCCACCTGAGCCCAGTTGGGGCAGTGTGCAGCACAACGGGTTAGACCTCGGTGCGTGTGATCAGAAGGTTGCTGGTTTGAGTCCTGGGCTTGGCAGAACAGTCACATGCTCACTGAGCCCTTGAGCAAGGCCCTTCACCCTCTGAAATGCTCCAGAGGAGCTGAAATCATGGCTGACCCTGCACTTGGACCTAAGCTTTGCTCTCACCTCTATGCGTGTATATGTCTCAAAAGACAGCATGATGCAATATGCAAAAAAGGAGCACTGCAATGTAGCTGTACTTGTGTAAATGACAAAGAAAGCATCATTTTTATTTTGTGGGTTTAAAAAGTTTTACAAGTTAATATTGCCTGCATCAGTACCTTTATGGTGTCCGAACACAGGACGTACTCATGCAGAAGGGGGACCAGGTTGTCAGACATCTGGCTGAGCTGCTCCTCTGTTGCCTGGCAGCACTTGTCGATGCAGCCGGCCACGCCCTTCAGCGGTTCCACCAGCTCCTCCTCAGAGCCCGACCACAGGACGTAGGTTGGCCCGTACTGCTTTAGATCATCCAGGTATTCTGCAACAGACCTCAGCCTGAAACCATCACTGGCATGCAATTCAGAGCCCAGGTTCTAAAAATCTCACACCAATGGGCACATTTCACTCGAGCATATTAAAACTTGAGCGGACAACAGTGGGGAAGTACTGTTGGCTCACATCTACAGGGTCGAGGGTTTGAATCCCAACCTCTACTGCAGGGGTCTCCAGCTCCGGTTCTGGAGTGCGACTGTCCAGTAGGTTTTGTATCATTCTATCCGGCTCGTGATGAGCCACACCTGTTCCTGGTATTTACCTGAGAACAGGTGTGGCTCATCAGAACTCAGGTAGGATAGAAAACCTACTGGACAGTAGCTCTCCAGGACCGGAGTTGGAGACTCCTGATCGACTGTATGCGTGTGCGGCATTTACATGTTCTCTCTGTATCAGGCAGGTTCTCTCTCATAGTCCAAAGACACATAACTTGATAATTAGAATAAGTGGGGTCTCTAACACGCCTGTTAATCGTATGCGCGCACCTTATGATTTACAGGAATGCGGCCTTAGTTAGCCTTGAGTTTATAACGTTCATTAGCTACCCTTCATTTCTTTGAATATCCTCTGGGTGACCTTGTCCAGCGAGCCCATTCTCTGGCTGAAGGTGTCCACGTACTCCTGCATGGCGACAAATTCCTCCGGCCGGTTCTTGACTCCCCTGACGCTAGCAGCTACGGCACGGACGGTATCGCCCATCCTGCTCAGCAACCCCGGACCTTGCTTCTTGTGAGAGGTGAGCTCCTGCCGTGAGAAACAGAAGCTTCCACTAGACTACAACAAACGCTCACATGGACAAAGATCCCAAAAACACTTATGTGTGTTTTTGGTGATCAATCCCACTATTTAAGGAAAAGCAGCCATGGATAAATGCTTGTAACTCGATGGTGCCTGGTTCTTGGCCTAAGAAAGGCCCTGCTTCAAAACCCATTAACATGTACTTCAGATAAACGTCTAGTTGCACGAGGAAACACCTTAACAAAGACGTATCGATTTTGATTTCCTGAAGGGCTCTTATTTTAATCGCTTAAGGTGCTTCCACAGCATATGCCTTTTGGTAAAGATATTTGTAAATTGACCAGAGTGATGATTATAGAAGAGGAAAAGACGTGCATTTTACCCAGGCCTGGGCAGTGAGGAAGATCTTGAAATCGGCATTGCAGGACAGAATGGAGTGTTCAGCAATCCGGCAGAGAAACTTGTGAAGGGCCTTCCGACGAGTCTCGATGAAGTCATTGTTGAACCTCTCCACCATTCCCTTCATCACAAACTTCTCCGGCAAGGGCTAAGGGGAAAATTTGTATTTAAATTTGAACAGCTAAACCAAAACAACAGCTATCACAAATAAACTAAAACCTGACCATCGTAAATACAAAAAAGCACAGGATGGCAGGAAAAGAGCAGTAACAACAGCAGTAAGAACTTCGAAAGATATCTTACATGAACAATAAGTGTAGGATGTGTCTCTTCCAGACGGTCCCTCAGCCAGAGGAAGTCCTGATAGCGCCGACGGACCTCATACTCGCATGAGTCAAAGTCGCTGCGTGTGGTCTTGAAGACAAACAAATATGCACCTTTTGTTTTGTGAAAGAGGAAAAAAAGTATCTCTATCCACTCCTCTGTCCAGTATGTGGGTGTGACTGGATGAAAGAATTCAAAGCACTCGAGTCCATGACGAGGAATGCTTTATCTCACGCTCAATGAATGTTCCATTCCAATGCAACCTGAAACACGGTGAGCTTCGGAGGTGTGCTAAGGCGAACATTGCGGTGTAGTGCTTGCACCTGACTATAGGCAAATTATTGCATATTATTTTTCAGGACAAACTCTATAAAGAAAATGTTTATGTAAACAATGTCAATATTGTCTAAATTAACTGATGCTAAATAATATGGACAAAATATTTGCCATAGAGAATTCCAGTAGTTTGAATTTGGATGTTCTCTCAATGAGTTCAGAGATGCAATACATTACATTACATGTTATTGATTGTAGGGGTATGTTTGATCAATGGAAGAGTTATCAATGTCAATAAAATTAACCCTTTACATTTTATTTTATTTTTTAAACTGAAGATACTATACTATATTACAATGTGACCAAATGGCAATTTACATAACACTCTAAGTTTGCAAGTGTAAATTAAGTTAATTTAAGAACTAAATATAAATAAATATTTCATAAGCACTGGTGATGGAAGAAGCCACAATTAATCCCTGGTAGTATTTATTTTCATTACCAAAACATAACAGATATGCTTCGCAGTAAAAATCGTATACTCCATGAGTAATTATACAAGCATAAGGCTGGATGTATTTCTGAGTAACATCTATTGATATTACCTGTGATTATCTAGTCCAGGGTTACAGTGGGGCCCAGAGCCCATGCCAGGAAGCACAGAGTACAGGGGACACAGTGCATGCCAGTTCATCAGATACATTTTCTCAGCAATTAATTTCTAGCCGTTTAAATCAGTGTCTGCGCCAAACCTAAATATTGGTCTTATTGCTTGGATAGAAAAAAAGTTGCCTGATATTTGCCTGCTTTTGTATAAAAATACTTTAACTGTTCCACCTTTTTTCTGGTGACAATTTGGCTTATTGACATTGTTGACATTTTCTTATGCAAATAATTGTTTCCTGAAACATTTGTACTAACAAATTTTAAATAAATGACTACACAAATAAAACTTCTACTAATATGTTGTATAATAGTTTAATTTATATTAAAAATGGACAGAGTATAGGTTCTCTTTATTGGTCTTAAAAGCTACAGTGCTTTTGGGAAATGAGAATGAGATTAGATAATTAGAATTACAGGAGACATCGTTTTCATTATAATGTGTATAAAAATTCCAGTCTTGGTTCACTTAGCAGGTAAACCTCAATCCATTAAGCTGAATCTAACGTTTTTTAGCCATTGCTGAAACATACCTTGGTTACGACTCTGTAGGTGATAAAGGTCTCCAAAGCTGTGACATGGCTCTCTGGATTATCCACCGTGACAAAAATATCCCTGGCGTCTGACTCCTCTTCGAACCTGTACTGATTGGTCATGGAGGATGGAGAGGTGGGCAGGGAGGCACTGACAGAACTGCCGTCTGTCAAGGTGACATCCTGAGAAAAAACAAAATTAAACAGCAACATGAGCGGTATTTCGATTAAGGACCACGAGCCAGTGAACGCATTCATTGGTAACATTGAATTTGATAACAGGTTTTAAAATATCACTAATCACTGCGGCCACACAACACATGCAACGCTGCCATGTTTTAAATGATTCAAAAAAGCTCTTTTGTAACTTTTAAATTGCAGTTTTACAGATTGCAGTTAACTTTGTAGTAGGGATGGTTAGGTGTGCAGACCCCAGCATCCTTCATGGTAATTCAACCTGTAAACAGGCCAGGGGATTTACGCACCTTCACAAAACGCAGGGGTTTTCTCTTTTTTTTTTGTTTATAGAACGTCCCATTGTGCTTCATACATCATTCATTAACAAACCATCGTCAGCAAAACAGGAATCCCCTTTCGGGTTTGTCAGCAAGAAAAGCTGTCCGTTTATTCCACCATAAAAGTGAAACTTAAATACGCCTGGTAGTCAAAAATAGTCTGGTAGTGTTCCCTTACGTACAAGATATATCAAAGACAGTCCGAGTAGTGTGCTCAAGCACACAAGTCAGGATCCAGAAAAAAAGATTTAAAATCCTAGGTACGCATCGGTCAAACAATAAAAAGTAGCTCTAAAATGATTTAAAAGTAGACTTTGTTGTGCGCATGTCTGAATCGATGATCAATAACAGCAACTGAACTCATCACATTGTCTTTTATGAAAATGGAAAGTTGTGAATTCTTTAGAAATGCAATGCAAATAAACCCTTTGAAATCGATAGGAGTTTTTTTGTGTTTTGAAGCGCGGAGGTGCAGCCACGTAAACAAAAAAAAATGTTAAGATGTTACACCCCGTCGGAAAGTGTCCTGACAGCACCTGATTGCGTGAACTTTGATTCGTGGGCTCACTTCATTCAGTGTTAGCCTACAAGGAAGCGATCTTATATTCAGGAAAAAGTTAGGCTACTTTATTGTTGTACTCAATATCCAACAAAAGAAAGAAAGTTAGATCAGCGACAATCATTACAGACTATACGATCCTGACTCCATGTTGCATTAAAAAACAATGCATCCACGTAGCACAGTGTCGTTTTCACCCAAAGTTTATGTATTAGAGAGTTGTGCGATTTCTTTCTCTTCCTCCTACAATCGCCGCCTTACCTTGCTGAAAACTTCCAAGTCGTCGTCTTCGTCCAGCTCCAACATTTCTCCCGTGAGAGCCTGCGTGGGAAAGCCGGCGGCGGTGAGATTGGAGCTCATAGCTCAGCGAGCTCCGGATGCCAGCGAAACGCGACCCAGTCCGTACCGCAGCCGAGGACGGTATAGAGGCGTTCGGCCAGCTGCGGGCGGGCGGACCGGCGCACAGTGCGCAGATACGGAAATACCGCTGAAAGGGAAAAGGGGGCGCAGTCTGCCCGCTACGAAGGCGGGCAGCCAGTCCCACGCGATTAACTCGCGTCGGCTGTCTGATGTTAGGTATAACCACTTAGATTATTCAAAATAATTTCATGAGATGAACAATATAGAAAAACGCCTCCAAGATCTCATTTTAGCCGCATCGTTTTACTGTGTTCGCATTTTTGCGGCCCTGTCTCATGTTCCAACCACTTATTGAGCGCGGGGTAAGAGGGAACCAGTGCCAGGCAGTTCTCGTTCGTTTCAAGGGGAGCTGTAATTTGAACTAGTTTAACTCCCAGTTTCTGATATCGGGAATTGAATTATAAGCAGCTAAATTACAAATTTCTGATATCATGAATTAAATTGTAACTAGTTTTAATTAAAACTGTATTTTAACTAGTTACAATTCCAACTCCCATTGAAATAAATTAGAAGAACATTTGGAATCTCACTAGCTAAAATAGAACTTCTGATATTGGGAACTGGCATTTTAACCAGTTAAAACTGAATTTCCGATATCAATATAATGCATTGTGCCTGGTTAAAGTTGAATATCTGATATCAGAAATATGCATTATAACGAGTTACAAATGAATTTCTGATATTGGAAATTTGCATTCTAAGTTGTTAGAACTGAATTTGTGATATCTTCTACAAATGAATTAAAGGTAAAATGGCTTGCCATACAGGTTACACGCATCACAGGGTGCACACACAGACACACCAATAAGGATGTAAGTTTATTTAACTGCATGTCTTTGGATTACAGAAGGAGACCACACATGCAATGCTGAGGCAAAATTTAAACACCCAGCTATGATTGTCAGAGGCAGCAATGCTGTCCACTCTCCCACCCAAATCAGTGTTTAGTCTCCTATTTAATCTATGTAAGAGATCATATATTTTAACACAAGTAGGTATTACATCACAGCATATTGCCTGGATTGGGGTAAAGTACTTTGCTGAATTTGAAAGCAGAAGTTGGCATTTATATTTAAGATATGTGCGTTGAACTCTCAAGGTCAGGCAGTAGGTTATTCTTTAGTGCTCCGTAGTCACTGCACTCGCAGATTTCCAGTGGTAACACAACAGCCTTCCAAGAAATGTGATTGATGACCATAACGAATGGCACCAAGGTACAGGGACTGCTTAATGCCAAGATTGATTTCAGTTAAACTGCTAATAAGACCAATGTGAAAACCCAAACATGGGCGTTTAATTCCGGCTAATGTAGTAGGCCGTAAATCTGATTTTCTTCAGCAAAACCCATTTTGCGATGCCATTTTCATGCAGAGCTACTTTGTATCGATTTCCTGAGCAAATGAGACCATAGATGTACAGTAAAGACATGTTGGAGAGTTTCCCCCAATAACTTCTACGGAAAAGCATCATTCTAGGAAAAGAATGACTTCAAAGTAAAATATCCATCCATGCATCTTTTAGCCACGTTTGCTGCTCAGGGTCACATGATGGCTGGAGCCAATTGGAACAGGGTGCCTAAAAGTGCTGCTTACACTTATACATCATTGGAAGCTCAGCTTAGCTGCATTAATGCCTGACAACCTTAAGTTTGCAATGTGCTATTTGCCTCACTCATATCTCATGGTTCTGTGGTTTAGGATGCTGTGCCTGGGATTGAAAGATTGATGGTTCAAATCCTAGAGTTGGCTTTGCAGTTGGACTCTTGAGCAATCATTGTTGCTGATACTAACTGACCCTATTTTCAATTGTGCATCTCTGTATGGAAAAAAATCTACTAAATGAATAAATTGTTTTGGTCAAGAGCAGCTGCTAAGTAAAGAAAATCTGAGTAAAGTGGAAAGTAGCATAAATCATATATGGTGTAATGTAGTGTTTCCCAATCCAGTTCTTGGCGACCCACAGACGTCCACGTTTTGGCTCCCAGTAGGGAGCTGGAAGATAGCAAATCCTGGACTGGCTATCGGTCCCCGAGGACCGGACAGAGAAACACTGGTGTAATGGATGACGGCAGAGATATGCAGTGCAGGTTGGCCGGTAGCGCAGTGGTTAAGGATGTGGACCGAGTAGGAGGGAATGGGATGTTCTTGCACTCTTCACAAGGGACTTTACATATAAATATTTGTATTGACTTTATGTTTTATTTATATATTTGAAATACGAGGTGTTAGGAATGCTAAATCTATGCGAAGATTTGCATCTCTAGGTCAAAAACACCAGAACAAATTCCTCAGATTGCTGTGGTGGTTTTGCAGAAAGCCCTTCTGCTTTGCACTTTTAGGGCTGGAGGCCTGAATCTGTCCTTGTCTGTGTGTGTCTGTGTGTGTCTGTGTGGGTTTGCCCTGCCTATTCTGGTTTTGTCCCGTACTCCAAAGACACGCAGCTTTGCTAAGTGTCATCTCTGAATTAGCCACCATATGTGTCTACATTGTCCCCCACTTGAGGTTGTAAATGGCCCTTTTCCACAACCGATGATCATGCAAAAATTTACCAATTTACCCACAATGTTCAGCAACATGAGGAGGACCTGTGGCTGAGGGGAACCCTCTGCCCGTTCAGCAAAATTTACTGGTGCCCCCCACCCCCATGGCATTGCAGGGGGTTTGCATCATGTGACAGGCTCCAGGACCTTCATGACAATGTCCTGGTTCAGGTTGGAAGATAGATCAATATAAAGTACTTCCATAGTAAAGCGCCAAGCGTCAGTTTAGTTTAGTTTGTTTACATTTATAAATTCAGATTAATAAGTGGCACACAGCTGGTGCAGTGCTTGAGTGATTAGAAGTGTGGCCTCGTGTCTCCAGGTTGTGGGTTCGACTCTTGTCCCTGGCTCTGTGTGTGCCGAGTTTGGCTGCTCCCCCTGTGTGACCTTGCTGCCACAGTCCAAAGCCATGTGCTCCAGGTGAATCGGTGTCTCTAAGTTGCTCTGTGCTTCTCCTGTGATGAACAGGAATTGCATCCTGAGTGTCTCATACCCTTTTGCTTCCTGTGATGGACTTCCAGGTGTCCACAACCTTATAAGTAAATGTATGAATGACATACAGTATATATACTGTAACTCTGCATGGTCACTTTTTATTCGGCACTTTATATTACACTTAATTCCATTATCTCTTCTGCAAATGTATTATTTTTGCTATTTTTATTTCATTTATTTATTTTTATTTTATTCATATTATTATCTTGGAGCAGGCTAGCTTCTCCTTGGACTACACGTTGACTGCAGTCACACTCCTACTGACCTGCACCATATGACTTCTGTTTGATTGCGGTAATTTTTTTCCCCAAACGTTGGTGTGAAAAATCAGCAAATGCCAATCGATGAAGACTAGCTTTTGGAGTGTGTGCTGTTATTTTGTTTTTAAATGGCATTGTCACGTACACAAAAAAGTTACTGGAGCTAAATAAACTCTCCGAGAGTTAAATCAACTTGGAGAAACTTGAATTTGAACACACATGATCGGCTCTGTCTCTGAGGTTATTGAATTCCTGCAGACTGCGCTCTCTGTGGACCAAGTCCATTACAAGGAGCATCCAGCCCAGGAATGTAATGGAACTCGGGGCTGTCTGTGTGAGATGGGGCCAAAATGTAGCATCACCAACGGATGAACCCTAAAACGCCATGAAAGTAGAATGATATAGATTACGCATCAAAAGCAACATGAAATACAATTTATATTTAGTCCATCTAACGCGGGTAGCTGGAAAAAATTAACTTTATTGAATTGCAGAAATTTTAAATGAGTAATTTTTCTCAATAAAAACTGATATATTAATTTATTGTGTAAAAAAGGATGTTCATACTGTATGTTTTAGTCAGGTCCCAATTTAGTCTGTAAGACACACAAACAACAACTGCTTAACTAGCCAGCTATAACTTCATTCATTATGGCGCTATTTTTCTTTACACCCCTGAAATGAAGGTGGCTCCGGGGCTTTTACAGTAAGTCAACAAGAACGGTGCAGCATTTCTGGGCTAAATTTGGTATTCAGTGGGAGGCCTGGAGAATCAGAGACCTTTCTGCCATAGTTTATCTCTGCTGAGGCTAAGACCAATTGCCTTCTCACACTGTTCTGCTACAGGTCACTTCTAATTACACTCAGGCCGGCACTATAAACTGTTATCTTCCTTTTGCTCTCACCCGTGCTCCTGGGCATCCACCCAGAGCAAGAAACTCATAACATCCTCCTGGCCAGCTCGAGTAGCCTCCCCACCCACAGCCAGCGGTGCATGATGACCATCCCTCCATGACCAGCCAAGGACCTGCAGAGGGGACTCCAATAACCATCCATCACTCTCCAAAGCACACACAGATAAAGCAGATGAGAAGAATGATACATTTGGATGAATATTATATGACCACTATAAATACTTCATGCTTAACTTTCGTCTTTCACTATCAAGTGTCCTTGGGATCCCAAGTGTAGGGGCTACAGTACTCTTGTGACCAACTTTCCCCCGAAAATGAATCATTTAATATCCTTAGATTGGAATACAATGCTTATGGAAATGCACTGTATAGGTAACGAAAACCCGGAATGGAGAATTTTCCTAAATGTATATGTCTGACATTGTTGTCCAATGAATCTGAGGCCCTTGGACGCGAATGTAAAAATCCCGTTTCCTTTTTCTAAATAATTCTTTTTCAAACAGCAGGCATTGACTTCACTTGCACTCTCAATGAAACTAAGCCTAAAATTAATTACCCATTGTCAGTTCAATAAAATATTAAAATCCCATTTGCTTTCATCTCTCAAATGCCATTTGGGTTCATTGTTTCTTGTTCATATAGTGCCATTACACCATAGCCAGAATAAACATAAGTGTATTGTAACATATTATGCATTTAAATGCAGGAAGGTATTTCAATTGCCTGAAATGCATGCATGCGCGTGCACACACACATAGACACACCACACACACACAGATCATATATTTCTATCATTGTGGGGACTCTCAATTCATTTCTATACGCATAAACAATAGTCCTAACTATTA